AAAAATCAGCTTCAGTGGGATTTACTCTACTGGAATACAGTTCCTTGTAGAAGTTCCTGAAGCAAGGGTTTATCCCCTTTGGGTTAGTAACCAGTTTACCTGGTTTGGATTTTATCTTATGAATAGCTTGCTTAGCCTGCTCACCTCTGAGTTGGCTTGCTACCAGTTTCTCTCGTTTATCCCCAAGTTTGAAATTCTTCTGTTTAAATTTTAGTAGAACATTGCTGATAAATTTATTAAGGATGGTGTTATATTCGTATTTTAATTCTAAGATCTTATTGTAAGTAACAAGAGGTAAGAGGGAGGATCTGTATGCCTCTTCCAGTACTTGAAGCATATTTTCAGTATCCCTAAGGCAACTGTTAAGTTCTCTCTTCTTAGAAGTTTCAAATGAGATAATATGTCCTTTGATCACGACCTTGAAGGCCTCCAACAGAGTAGAATCAGACAACTCCCATTATCATGTGTAGTAAGAAACTCATCTATGCGTGTCGTCATAAGCTCAATAAAAGGGTGGTCTTGAAGAAGGAGAGGGTTGAAGCGCCAGCTGTATTTTTGTTTAGACAGGATATTGTTTAAATTAAGAGAGACAGGCCTATTATTAGATATTAAGATATTGTGATAAGTACAATTGTTGACATAGGATCATTCAGAGGATATCAGGAAATAGGTGATCCTAGTTTAAGACTTATTGAACATGAGAGTAGAAAGAAAAATCTTTATATATAAAGCACAGCATTGCCTGTAAATATCTTGGTCATCCTTCAACTGATCTGTGATGAAATATCCAAGATACTTTACTATTTACTTTCAAATTATTATCTGACAATTTGAAAGTAGGAAACATTAGACATCTGTCCTCTTTTGTTCTACAGATCATGACCACACTCTTATCTGCATGAAACTTCATGTCATGGACAACACCATATTCAGAGCAGACATTAAGAAGCTGCTTGAGACCAGCACTGCAGGGATTAAAGACCACAAGGTCATCTGCATATATAATATGGTGTACCAAAGTATTGCCTATCATACACCCAGTGTTACGGGTTTTCAGGCTGTTAGACAGGTCATCAACACACAAATTATAAAGAATTGGTGAGAGAATTCCACCTTGTCTGACTCCATTCCTGACCCCAAAAGGGGCACAGACGCAATGACCCTATTTTAACTGCAATGACTGGTTGGCATACCAGTAAGACAGAATTCTCACAATACATTTGGGTACCCCTCTGCAACTCATTTTGACAAATAACTTAAAATGATTGACCTGGTCAAAAGCTTTTGAAACATCAATAAAACACATCAAAACTGAGTAATTCTTATCTATATATGCATTGACAATTTCCTTTAAGGAATATATGGCCATGTCTGTGCCATGCTTAGCTTTGAAGCCAAACTGGTTATCAGTAGAGGAAATAATCTCCACAATTCTGTCTAGCAGGATGCTTTCAAAAACTTTAGACAATATACTGGCAAGGGCTATTGGTCTGTAATTATCAGAGCATCCAGCTTTACCAGATTTGTCCTTAATCACTGTAACTAAAAAGACAGATATCATTGTATCCAGCAAGAATCCATGAATTAAAAAAGCATTGAAGCAGATGGCAAGGAGAGGAGCTATCCTCATGCTGGCATATTTGATGTGCTCAGCAGTGATGTGATCCAAACCACATGCTTTGTTATCTGCTAGATTATTTATACACACTCAACATTATCAGGCACATATATCACTTTTGACAATTGAATAAGGTGCTGTAGTGCTGTCTCCATAGCTCAGCAATATTGTCAACCCCTGAGATACCATCTACAGTGCATGGGGACGGTATTCTACAGTTGTTAAGGACCTTTACCTCCTTCCAAAAATCAGTAGTATTGTTACTTATTACCTACTCAGCCATAGAGTCAGCCCTCATAGCTTGCTCAATTTTACAGATAAATCGAACAACATATTTATGCAGTGCATTAGCATGTTTCATATTTTCAAACAAAGGCCCTTGTCTTGGTCTACCAGCCAAAACCCATGACTTAAAGGCTAGCTTTGCTTTCTCATGATACCTGGCCGCATACTTATTCCAGCCAGGCCTAACATTACCCCTCTTATTTTTCTGTTAAAAAAAGGTCTGCTGCTTTCATACAGAGCTCTCACAGCATGAGTATATAAAGAGGAAATTTCCTCCCTGTGCTTCCAGTCATTACAATTTACATCACTACACCTAATTTCATCTGTGTGTAGATGAATATTACTCAATAATTTATTTGTATCAACATAATAGGCAGCAATATCCTCCCTTGACAGAGCAGACCAGTCCAGTAGTGTTAAAATCATAACTGTCACTAGAGGGCATAGGAATATCTTCAACATTTATCAACATACCCACAGGCATGTGATCAGAGGTTGCTGCCCCACACAGAATGTTCATACCCTCCAAAGATGCATGTGCATCAGCTGTGTTGATACAGTGATCCAGCCATGAAGCAGTATGCCAGGCCTCACTTACATAACTATCTGGGGGTAGTAGCCATTTACTTGACAGCATTAAATTGTTTTCCTGACAAAACTGGATCCTGTGATTAGCAAACAATGAGCCTCTGTCAGCAATGTGTGCATTCATATCCCCAATGACATGGACACAGGAAGTAGTGCTGCTCTGAATAAAGGAATAAATAAAGGCAAGCCTATCTAGATATTCATCTTCATTCTGAGTACACTCATATGGTGTATACACATTAAGGATAATAAATTCCCTGCCATTGTGACTGAACTGTACACCAATACACCAGTCTACATAAAACCTAACAACATAAATAAATAAATCAAGCCTCTTGTTCCACAGGATGGCCACACCCCCAGGTATCCTACCCGATTATTCCTGAGCTGAGATCAGTTGTAGATTCACCAGCACCATGAAAACTGACATTGAGAGTGTTTAATATGCCAAGTCTTGCTCAGCCAAAAACGTTTCTTGCAAGCACAGTATGTAAAAGTTTTCCAGGAGATTGTCAACAACCAAGCGGCGAGCCCTGTGTCCTGTGCCCTGGCCCAGATGCAGACCTCGACAGTTGTAGGAAAAACCCTAAGTGGTCTAGTCATATGGGGAATCTAGTTGGTGCTCCCTGCACCAGCTGACACGCTTCTCAACTCAGCAGCGATGACAGCGTTAGCCCTGATAGCACCAGCCCAGCAAGGCTCATAATAGCGCCGGACAAATGCCCAGTCTGGCCAGAGTTCCAGATTGTACATTTCTCCAACCTCATTACACTAAGCAGAAACTTTAAACGAACTATATCTGCCGTTGTCATTACCGATCCGGTTACAGGAAACCACACAGCCAAGTTTTTCACTAAGATAGTCAGAGAGAGCTTCCACATACAGATCAGGTGAGAACTTGGAAGCAAAAACACTCACCAGCTTGGTCTTGACAGTTTTGATGTTACCAGCAGCCCCGGTGCCAACAATAGACGTGCCAGATTTCTTTCTCTGCAGCGAGGTGGCTGTGCGCACCCGGGGCACCTGTCCTTCTGTGCACCTTCATGGGAGACATTGACAGACTTTCTCCCAGATTAGCAGCAGGTCCTCCATATCCTCCATATGGTGGGGCGGGTCGCGGCTGGCACTGTTAGCATTAGCAGATGCTGAAAATGATCGAGGCATTTTAAGCGACTTCCTCTGCATTTTGTTGCATAAACTTAACCGGTCGAGTCACTCTTATGTCAAGGATATTCCGGAGGGAGGCAAAATTAGGTGTGAGACCGTCAATATATTAGGTTTAGAGTTTAGCACAGAGGAGCATCGGAACGCACGTCTACTCCATGAGCTGCTCACTAGGGCCCCCTATCATTATTCTTTTGATAGGTACATTTTTCCTTTGATGTCATGTCAAGTAAATGATGAATGTGTCATAACATCATTTCAGGTCATCAATGTGATGAGAAACCCCAAAGATGCTTTTACATCGCTGTTTTATTATTCTGAGATGGCCTCCAACTGGGTCAACCCAGGCTCACAGAGCAACTTCCTCCACAAGTTCCTTGATGGAAAAGGTTGATCTCAATTTTACTTTGATACAATATTTTATAGATGGCAATACGATAATGATAAGATTTAAAATGTGCACTGAATACTCAAAGTTATATTTTACTCATGATAATGGAGTGTTTCTGATCTTTTTCCTCTAGTTGCGTACGGCTCATGGTTTGATCATGTGAAGAGCTGGCTGAATGCTGAAGATAAAGAGCACATCATGTACATCTCCTACGAAAAAATGATAATGGTGAAATATTACAAAATACTCTTCAAAACTAAACACAAAGTACAGCTGAGGTTGATGGAAAACTCATTTGTTATACATGTATTTGATCATAAACCAAAGTACAGGACAAACAGAAATGACAAAGCCAGACAGTGAGAATTGTTGCAGGAGTATGAGATGATGTGTGTTCTCTGTGGGGCAGGACCTGAAGGACTCTGTGGCCAGAATCGCTCAGTTCTTGCAGAAATCTCTGGACACTGAGGTGATAGAGAAGATAGCAGACCGATGTTTGTTCAAGAACATGAAGAAGAACAACATGTCAAACTACAAATCTGTTCCTCGTGAACAGATGGACCAGACAAAGTATGAATTTCTAAGGAAAGGTGAGTTCCAATAAATAATACATGTAAGGTAAATGTTAAATTCCACTGTTATTAGATGCAATCTGTACAGTCTAATATGTACAGGGAGATGTCTACTTATACAATACTACTGCTCACACATTGTATACAGTATAGCAGATTACATACTGTATCTCTATTGAACAGAACCATAAATATAAAAAAAAACACTGTTTCATTAATCTTTCTTCCAAATGTAATCTGATTCCTTGTTTTGCACATTACATTTCAGGGATTGTTGGAGACTGGAAAAACCAACTAACAGTGGCAGAAGCAGAGTACTTTGATGCTGTTTACAAAGACAAAATGAAAGATGTCCAATATAAATTTGCATGGGAGTAAAAAGAAGTGAATGGAAATACTTACTGGAAGTCATTTCACCATACAATGATGCACAGAAACTTGTAATAAAGATGCAGTTGATTCCGATGTACTTCTATGTTTATTGTTTTGTGGTGTGAACATAATGATCTCATATCAGTCACAAATGAATTTACCAGAAATGATTTATCACAAATTGTCCTGGCAATTTTTAACAGTCCCCTAATTCACTTTATCCACATGGTCAACAACATAGACATAACACAGATTGAAATGAAATTTACATTAAAGTCTATTGGGACACAGCCTGTCCAAGTTGACAGCTTAAAGGGCAAAGGGGTGTGGCTTGGCCTGAAATGATTAAATTGTGTCATTGCACTCCAACTAATACTATATGATCATGTACAAGGTGAGATACATCAGAATTATTGTTAGAAAAGCATTGGTCCTATATTTATATTTATATATGTATTTATTTATATTTTATTTCTTCTGTTATTACTCATTATCACGTTCAATACTTATGATAAATAGTAGCTCCTGTCCTCCAGGACATAAATTGGCCAACTGTAAAATCCAAAAAACAAACAAACCCCAAAACAATGTTGGTCAGTCAGAAATGTCACAACAGTTTACACGAGGCTTGACATTGCTTCTTAATAGCAAAAAACAAAAGAAACAAAGCTGTACAGTAATAAACATAATAAATACTAATGATAAATAGCAGCTTCTGTTAAATCGGACTAACCCAGGCCAATGGTGCATTCATCTGTTTCTTGCACAGTCATTATTCCAACTTCATTGTGTTTAACAGAAAAAAGTTTGGTAAATGGTGAAATGCACTCAAGAACTGACAAGATACCTGTGATAAAGACAAGCTAGATTTATTTACCTCTCATCACATCTGCCGGCATGAATCTCCAGGGTGTCTGAGGTCTGTCTTGACTGGACAATATGTCTGCAAGGAAACACTAACAGAAATTATAGAAATATTTATTGTACTTTACACCAAGGGTTATTCAAGTGAAAACCTACCTTACTAAATGACCTTATTGTGATTAGCTAATGACTACAGAGTATATGAGAAACATCTGAAGCTTTACGTTGGTCCTTTCTTACTAACATAACATCCCCTCTGCTTTCACCCGTTACTATCTCCTCTCCTTCTTCACTGTCTTTCATCTGGTTACTGTAGAAACATAAATTTAAAGGACTGGAGCTGGGCCAGAAAGCTCGCAACCTCATTCCTTTCTTCTCGAACAGACTTTCGTTGTTTTCTATTAGATATCAAAAACTCAAATACTCAGAGGTAAAAAACGTGTCACTGGAGACACGTAGAATCAGATGCAACTGAGTTTAATGTGCTAGCAGGCAACAAACACATCACAACTCAATGAGTCAAACTCCGGAGCAGGACTGGAATTTCTTTGTTTTTGCACTCGCTTTTATTGTTAAGATTTCTGCTGAGTCGTCTTTTTCTTAATCCTTCCCACTTGGCGCTGATCCTAACGGTGTCACATTTCTGCTGAGTTCCCACTTTTTCTTTAATCCTTCCCCCTTAGAGCTGAAACATAACAGTGTCACATTTCTCCTGTCTCCCCCTGATGGCCGCCTCTTTACTTGCACTCACATAATAGTATCCCCTCTCTCCTTTTCTCCCTTGGAGCCAATTCCACCGTGTAATGTTTTTCTGGGCAGTCTAAGCCCGCCTCCTCTAGGGTCACATCAGGACAAGCTGGAATTCCCCTAACTTTCGACCAGTGTTTCTGAGCCCATCCTCATGCTATTTTTAGAAATGATGCACAGTGAATCCTAGGTACTTCTCTACCACAATGCTTAAGTGCTCAGTGAGTGTATGTGTGTCATAAGAATACATGAAATAATAACCCAGTGTATGATTTGTCAGTTGCACAGAGTACATTGCTTCAACACGTATCTTTTAAAAGTCAACTTAAGGTACAGTATAAACACTTCAGTAAATCAGTACATTACACTACATTACATCAAAGTGAACATACCATAAGGAGAAGCACTTGGTTAATGTATTTGGTATATATATGTATAATATTTTGTGTAAAGACAAAGACCTAGCTATAGTTTTCTCACCCTCTTTTGTGGTTTACCAGAAGAAACCTAATATCTCAAATGCCAGCATGGCCAGAGTTCCTTTCATGACTGTTCACTGTGCAATGACAAGAGTCAAATTTATACTACAAACATGTCTGTCTCATGACATAAAAGATAAGAAATCAGGTCATTAAAAAGCAAACAAACAGAGCTTACAGTGGGACTGGTAGGGTGACCAGGTCCCAATAAACCAAGTGTGGGACAGGAGTAGGTTTGTGAGGGACAATGTGGGACACCCGCCCCCAGTGCGAAGATTAGTCATCAGAGACTAAATACATTCATCATAAACTATACAGAGTCTACTGTAGGCTATATTAACACTGGACTGTTTTAATTATTGAAGTAGGATTTAGCAACACAGAGACTTGTGGTCAGTGGGATTTGAGGATTCTTATAATAACATCTGTAGCCTACAGATGTGAAGCCCTGACTGTATCTGACTGACCTTTAATGAAAGCTGTTGTCTTGTTTTTTTTTTTCTTCCTGAAAATATTAACCAACAGTTTATTCAGCCTGTGTAGTTGAGGGGACAGGTCAAACTGATATGATGCTGATTTACAGGAGAATTCATGTAAAATGGAGGTTAAACCATGAACATAAACTACAGATCACCAGTAAAGCATTTTAATAAATTAATCATTCATAATTAAAACAACTGGAGACTGAAAACAAACTGATGTATGGGTCTGATCACTTTTTTAATCAATTGACATCATTCCAGACATGATGTGAGTTTGTCTGTGACTTCCTGTACGGACTGGGCTGCTGGAAACAGGAAACTGTCCGACTCCATCGCAGGTTGAAATAGATGGGGCGGGAGGGGCGGGCTCTAGCGCTTATGGTGTGTTCGTTTTGTACTCGAAGGTCAGAAGTTGGAAGTGGGAATGATGTCACCTCCAACTTGACAACAGTTTTTGCATTCTAGTTGACAATTGCTATAAACAGTACTTTAGCAGAGTGTTTTCTCACTATGTATGTGACCGGCAGCCATCTTGAATTCGTAAGTCGGGGTTGATGTGGTTGCTCCGAGTTTCCGAGTTGGAAATCCGATCTCATGGTGCGTTCGAGTTTAAACTTCCGACTGGGAACTGGGAATTTCCGACCTCCGAGTACAAAACGAACGCACCATTAAACGCACAGAGCCCACGTTGACTGGCCGCTGCATGCAGCTTCTTCTCATTGGCTGGGGGGGAATGCAACCGCGGGTGACAACCAATCATGAGGGACATGGTCTCAATTTGCGTGAAGAGGCAGAAATGCTGTGCAGTCCCGTGCAATGTGGAACGTCTGGTCACCCTAGGGACTGGGTAGGTGGGGAAACCCTATTATTTTCTCATTCTTGAGAATAAAATCAGAACATTTTAAGAAAAAGGTTATGAAAACATGTAACAACTTCTTTCAGTAGTACAAACAACATTTAAGTGGTTTATAACAATGTATATGTCATGATCCTGGGTTTGTTCATCTATGGACTTTGTTTAGGAGTTTTCTGTTTGTGTTCGTTGTTTTGTGTTATTCATTAATGTTTAATCTGCTTCCTGTTTTATTTTGTAGATTCTCTCCTCATGTGTTGTGTCTGGTTTTACTTTTCATCTTTGTGTGTTTTCTCACCTGTTTTCTGTCACACCTGTCTCATTAGTCCTTCCCTGTTCCCAGAGTCATCCCTTCACACCTGTTCTGTCTTAGTCTTGTCTGCTCCACCCTTATTGTTAGCCAATCTCTGTTTCCCTCCTTTTGCCCATGTTCACCTACTCCACCTGTGTCCCGTTCTTGTGATTAGTTTTCTGTGTATATATATCTTTGTGTTTTCCTTTGTCAGTTTGTCTGTTGTTCATCCTGGGTTCAGTTTATCTGTGTTCCTCGTGCGTGCATTCTGTGGTTGTTCCTGCATTCATCCCTGCGTTATTCCTTTTGTTCATTCTGGGTTCAGGTCATCTGTGTTCCCCCAGGGTGCATTCTGTGGGTGTTCCTGTGTTGATCTTGCATTCATCCTGCATTCATCCCTGTTCATCATGTTTTTTCCTGGTTGATTTTCCGTTTGGTTTCTGTTCTGCTTTCATTTGGATTTTGAGTTGCCTACCTTTACTGGATGTTTTCAACCAGCTACATTAAAGCTCGCCTTTTGTCAAAGACTCAAACTGCCTGTTGGTCTGCATTTGGGTCCTCCTCTGAATTGAAACTTGACAATATAACAAAAAAAAAGCGGAATTTTATATTTCAAACACACATCTGTGTTACTTCATAGCTGTGCAGAGTGTGTTCTTCAACCATTAACTAATCCCTTGCGTCTCCTTTTCCACTTGGCCCCAAACATTAACATCATACGCAAAGTTGTTGCTAAAATACCAACATTGATCCAGATTAATTTGTTTATTTAATATTTATTCATTTATTTCTTTAGCTTCTGATTTACTCTCATGGGTAGAGCCACTGCTCCTTCGTGTCCAAAGGGGCCAGTTCAGGTGGTTTGGGCAACTGATCAGGATGCCTCCTGGGTCCTCTCTGTTAGAGGTGTTCTGGACACATCCCACTGGTAGGAGGCCCTGGGGCAGACCCAGAACATGCTGGAGGAATATAAACTAAGCACAAAAAGTCAGGAAATTTGTATTTGGTAGATGATTTCTTTGTTCTAACAATGCTTCTTAGCAATAAATCTTATACCGTTGGAAACCCTGTTTATTTCCCTTTTAAATGGTGCCACATTTGTAAGGAACATGCATTTGTGGGATGAGCAGCAGAGCTGAGTAAGTGGGTTGCGCCCATGAAAAATTTGCCAAATCTTCTCTACCAATGCCAAACAGCTTTTTTTTGCTGTTGACTCTTGTTTGGTGTTTGGTGGATTGGATGATTGAAGTCTGAGGAAACAAGGCATATTGGCAATTGAACAATTTATTCATTTAAAACAGAGGAGCCTCAGTAGTGTGTGGAAGAACCATACACAGCCACAACGGCATTGGCAGAGAAGATTTGGCAAATTTTTTATGT